AAAAAAAAAAAAAAAAAAAAAAAAAAAAAGGCTTCTCAGAGGATTCTAATGTATGTGCTGCTAAGGTTGCAAACCACTGACCTAAAAGTAGACTTATAAACCCTTACACAGGCATTTATAAAGTAGTTTGTAAATTTCAAGTTTCTTTTAAAGATTGTACTGAATGTTTCTCATGAAAGCATGAGCATAGACAACAAATTAATTGGTGGATGATTAGAAGTAACAAATTCTAGGGCTGGGTACAGTGGCTCACACCTGTAATCCCAGCACCTTGGGAGGCCAAGGCAGGTGAATCACCTGAGGACAGAAGTTTCAGACCAGTCTGGCCAACACAGTGAAACCCTGTCTCTACTAAAAATACAAAAATTAGTCAGGCATGGGGGTGGGTGCCTGTAGTCTTAGCTATTTGGGAGGCTGAGGCAAGAGAACTGCTTGAACCCAGGAGATGGAGGGTGCAGTGAGCCGAGATCACATCATGGTACTCCAGCCTGGGTGACAAGGGCAAAACTCTGTCTCAAAACAAAGACGAAAAAAAAACCCAAAAAACAAAAAAAACCCAATTCTAAGTGGGGAAGAAGCGCCCAAAGTTATATTAAAAAAATAATCAGGCTGGGCGTGGTGGCTGACGCCTGTAATCCTAGTACTTTGGGAGGTTGAGGCAGGCAGACTGCCTGAGGTCAGGAGTTCAAGACCAGTCTGGCCAACATGGTAAAACCCCATCTCTACTAAGAATACAAAAAAATTAGCCGGGTGTGGTGGTGTGCACCTGTAATCCTAGCTACTTGGGAGGCTGAGGCAAGGGAATTGCTTGAACCAGGGAGCTGGAGGTTGCAGTGAACCAAGATCACGCCACTGCACTGCAGCCTGAGTGACAGAGGGAGATTCCACCTCAAAAAAAAAAATAATAATAATCAAGAGACGGTAGATAGCAAAGCTCCAGGAAATGACAACATTGTTATTCCCAACACTGGGCATGGCATTCTTGACCATTACAAGACTTACAGAAATGGCTTCTTCAGGACATTTCTGTTTCCAAGAATGTGACCAACAGTACCTTAGACGTGGGTCTATCCTCTGTCAAAGCCATCCCAACCCCAGACATATGAAACGCTTACCAACAATGAGAATGGTATGCCAGCCACGGCAAGATAGGTCCGGGACATGATGCAGAGATCCAAAAATAGGCCGAGGCCATGAGGTACAGATATCAGAGCCATGTGGTCTCTCTGTGGGGGTCATTGCCAGGCGGCCATTACCACCATTGCCCCAGGCAAAAATGTGATTATCTAGGAAAAAAGTTAAACAGCAGACTATTTAACAGAACACTGGCTTCCCAACTCTCTGAGTTCTTCCCCATCTTTATATCCTAGAGCTAGAAAGACTTCCCACTATGTACTAAACAAGGGAAAGCTGTTTATTTTCCTATATAAAGCCTAAACTCTTCCTGATCCCACTTGTGTAAAAATGCCCACTCTTCCTATGTACTGACATCCATTCATTCATTCATCCATTCAGCTACCTTTTTCTTCAACAACTTTTTCTTGGTCATTTATTTAAACACTGACTGAACATCTACATCGTGACAGGCAATGCACGGGGTGATAGGGCAGTGAACAAAACCAGGTCCTTGCCCTTGTGGAACTGATATTCTAGTAGGGGGAGACTGATAATACATAAATAAATGCCAATATTTCAGGTGGTGATAAATGCTATTATGATAAATGGTGAAAAAAAATAGGTGGAAACAGAGTATAACAGTGAGATGGGATATCATTATTTTAGAAAGGGTAAGTCAGAGAAGTTCTTTTTGACAGTTGAACAGAGATCTACTGGAGTGAGGAAGAGTTCCCAGGCAGAGGGAACAGCAACAGCAAAAGTCATGTCAGTAGCACAAACAAGGAACAAGGAGACTCCTGCAGCGGGAACAAAAAAGTAAAGGAAGGGACAGTGATAGCAAAAGGGGTCAGGAGGTGGCTGGGGTCCCGCTCACATAGGGCCACGCAGGCCACTTTGATGACTCTGGTACTTACTGACTGATAGAGGAAACCACTGGAGGTTTTAAAGAGTAGGTATTTAAGAGAATCTCTCCGTCTACTGCGGAGAACTGATAGCTGGGGAGCAAGTATGGAAGCAGGGAGACCAGCTGTAGTGCAGATGGTGAAAAGTGGCTGGATTTATTCTGAAGATAATCAATATGGATGGGATGTGGGGTGTAGGATGAAGCTTCCATTTACTGAGACAGGAAAGCTGCAGGATGTACAGGTTTGGGCAGAAAATCAGAAGTTTGATTTTGAGTGTATGAAGCTTGTCTGAGATGCCTGTAACTTCTCAACCAAATCAGGCTTTTTTTTCTTTTAAATGAAAAGGGGGTGCTATTAATCATTAAGCCAGGACAACAGGCATGAAGGCATGAATCAGGATTGGTCTAAAATAACTGGGCTATGCGGCTCACCCTATAATTAGACATCATGTTGAGGAGCTGTTGAATAAATTAGTCTGCAGGTCAAGGCTGGTGATATAAAGAAGTCAATGTATAGGGGAAATTTAAGAGAACAAGCTCACTTTGGAGAGACGAGTAAGCCTTGGAGCACTCCAGGACTTAGAAGACTAGGCTGCTGCTATTATAGCACCTAACACCTGCCTGTGCTACTCCCCTACTCTACTAGACTGTGGGCTTCTTGAAAGCAGGGGTTTTCTGAGACTCATTTCCACATTCCTAGAGCCTGAAAGAGGATCTGGACATGAAGGAGGCCAGCAAGTACAGTTCAGAGAAGTACAGGAACATCAAGAGGTAATATGCAAAGCCACAGAATCCAAATTTACATTCCTCATTCTGAAGTTAAACTCATGAACTACATAGATTTAAGAAATATGAGCTCTCTGAAGTCCTGTCAGAAAGTGCTACTGCATCTGCTGCACTAAATTTATATTCAGTGACATCCTGACTCTATCCTACATGCCGTTTCCATTTATCCAAGTCTGGCCTAAACAATTTGCTCCTTAAAGTCCCTTGTTTTGGGATAAGCAGAGAGAGTTAACATGCTGTTCTGAAAGCTGGTTTACTTAAATATGGTAACCAATCACTTAATTGACAATATCCCTGAGACCCCTCATGAGTACCCAACTGCCACAGGCCAAAAGAAAACCAGGATATCTCAGAGCACAAGCAGCAAGAAAAAAGATGATGAGTCAAAAAATAAGAAGATGAAATGTATTAGCTGGGCATGGTGGCACACGCCTATAATTTCAGCTATTGGGGAGGCAAAGGCATGCGAATCACTTGAACCTGGGAGGTGGAGGCTGCACTCCAGCCTGGGCAACAGAGCGAGACTCTGTCTCAAAAAAGAGAAAAAAAAGGAAAATGAAATTTGAGTTGTTACCAGTCAAGTGAAGAAAGTGGCTACAAAAATTTAGAAGTTCAGAAGATGATGCAGGAAAAGGAAAAAAGAGGAAAAAAGAAAGCAGAAGAGTGAAGAGAATGAAGGATAGCAATAGCAGCAGTACAGAAGAGGAGTGGCCAGGCATGATGGCTCATGCCTGTAATCCCAGCACTTTGGGAGGCCAAGGCTGGTGGATCACCTGAGGTCAGGAGTTTGAGACTAGCCTGGCCAACATGGCAAAACCACATCTATACTAAAAATACAAAAATTAGTCAGGCATGGTGGTGGGTGCCTGTAATCCCAGCTACTTGGGAGGCTGAGGCAGGAGAATCACTTGAACCCAGGAGGCACTGGCTGCAGTGAGCTAAGATCTTTTTGTACTCTAGCCTGGGCAACAAGAGTGAGATTGTGTCCAAAAAAAAAAAAAAAAGGAGTGAGGAACCAGACAATACTGCAGAAAGAAACAGCCACAGAGGAACGGGTGTGGTGGCTCATGCCTGTAATCCCAGCACTTTAGCAGGCTGAGGCGGGCAGATCACCTGAGGTCAGGCGTTCAAGACCAGCCTGGCCAACATGGCAAAACCCATCTCTACTAAAAATACAAAAATTAGCTGGACGTGGTGGTGTGTGCCTGTAATTCCAGCTACCTAGGAGGCTGAGGCATGAGAATCACTTGAACCTGGGAGGTGGAAGTTGGAGTGAGCCAAGATCACACCACTGCACTCTAGCCTGGCAACAGAGCAAGACTCAAAAAAAAAAAAAAAAAAAAAAAAAAAAAAAAAAAAAAAAAAAAAAAAAAAAAGCCACAGAGAAAAGAGAGAAGAAAAATCAATTAGACCAACTCAGAAATCTGAGAGACACACAATGTAGAAAAAAACAGCCCTTCAAACCTTAGCAGTCCCTACAGATATCACTGCAGTACAGCTGGCCTCGGCCAGCAGAGAAAATATGCTGTTTTCTCCAGGTACCCAATCAATGTTTATTGAAACCAACCAACAAAATACTGGGCAAGGTATATATAGAAGTACTTAATAATTCTTGTAACATTTTACCAAAAAAGTTAAAGTTGAAATGAAAAAAGGAGGAATGTAGAATATTAACCTATCATTATCTAGAAATCTGGCCTTTAAAAACAATCATTATGTTGAATACATGAAAAGTTAATGAAGCTCAATATATAAAATGGCCACCAATTTAATACAAATAAAAAAGGGCATCCATAATTCAGCTATACAAATAACCAATCCATTTCTTTCCCAGTCAAGAACTGAAACAGAGCCATCCATCCAGAAAGCTTGAAATGATATGTACAGACTCACCATCAGTGGCAGCAATGGTAAACTCATCACCGCAGGAGACCCTGATCACTTGCTTCCCGCCTAGGGGTCCCCCCAACAGGTTGATTCCCAGACGCTTCTTATAGTTCCCAACGCCCAGCTGCCCACATTTGTTGCAGCCAAAGGTTAGCAGTCGGCCTCGCTCTGATAGAGAAGCAAAAATAAATAACCAGTCACAAATGAATACTGGAACCCAGAGAAGATGCAGCCAGACAGATTTCCGTGGACTAGCTTCTGGTTGTTAGAATATACAAATACAAAACTAGCCACATGATCCTGGACCTAGGGCAGCTAAGAGTATCTAGGCACTATAACCAGTTAGATCCAGTCAGTGACTTGATATTGTATTCTCTCTCCAATATTGTATATTTTGAGTGAGAAAAATGAGTACTACCTTTGAATACTTATAAAAGGTGCTAATCAGAGACAACAGATGTCTGGAATCATAGGTGTGGTGTTCTTATAAAATGGTATATTTGTTAGGCATTTATAATGATTATCAATAAAAATATGTACCTGAATACATTAATAATACTAGATGTTCAGGGGAAATCGGGATGACATATATATGAAGAAAACCTAATACTTGATAGAATAAAAGAGGCTGAGCTACTAAGGCATGTGATATAGTTGTAAATCAACTTACCATCAATAGCAGCTGTGTGAGTCTTGCCTGGGGCAATGGTACGGATTTTATAAAAGGACAACTGTTTGGCCAAGGTAAAGGACGTTGTGTAGGTAACCTCATGGTATGCCTGAAATAAGATAAAACATAAAGCAGATGCATGAGGTAAGAAAATGGAAGGGAAATCAGGCTGAGAATGGAAAAAAGTCCTGGTGACCAAAAGGCCCTTCAAGTGAGTCATATTATTAAGAAGAGGGTGCCAGGTAGCTTTCCATTTCCAACAGAATACCAGAGGAAATAAGCTCAATAAGTAATCAGAGAATGCAGCACATGAGGCAGAACTTTCTGACAACCAAAGTTTTAGATTCTGAATTAGGGTTTACAAAACATGAACTTTCCATCCCAGAAGGTATTTATATAAGGATAGAATCACTGACATTTACCTTGCATATCTAACAAAGGCAAGGCAAAGAATTAACGTCTTGAGGACTCTCTCCAGCCCATAAAGCAATCAGTTTACTGTGATCTAATTTCATCTACAGGGCAGTGTTTCTCAACTTTATTAAAACTCATGTTCCCTATGAATTAGTATCAAAGAAGAATCTTCTTAATTTTAAAATTTCACAACAAATCCACTGCTATAATGAAAACATAAATCAAGTAATAGTAATTCTGAATATTTCTTTTCAAACTACAAAGACACTCTCTCTACCTTTGCCCTGAATTTGTACTCTCCTAATTGAAAATCACTACTTTAGAGATTGCTTAAAAATTCTTACCTTTTCATTGAGTCAGAAAATTTCTGTCTCTTAATTTTATTCTTAGGAAAATGACAAAAACTCACCGTATTAACACAAAAAGGAAACTAAGGCAAAACCAGTGGTGAATTTACTAACATTTTTGAAGAGAGAATGGTAATTACATTCAATAAGCCTATGATTTGGGAGAAATAAATCTAAAAAACTTCAGGGAGGTGATGCAGGGAATGTGGTTTTTTTTTTTTTTTCCCCTATAACATTAATTTGCATGTTCCTATTTCAATGATAAGGTAAAAGCTAAATTTCATCATTTTATCTTTGTAATCAATTTATTTATTGAGGTACAACACACTGTAAAACATCACACAACTTGACATATTTTTCTACATACATTTACTTGTAAAACCATTATAGATCAAGATATAGACCATTCCCATTACCCTAGGATCCCTTCCACCTCTTCTGTTAATACCCCTCCTTCCAGAAGTAGCCACAATTTTGAATTCTGCCAGTATAAGTTAATTCTGCCTGTTCATAAATTTCACACAGATAGAGCTATATGGCGTGTATTTGTGGGTGGCTTCTTTTGCTGCACACAATGCCTGTGAGTTCATAACTTTATTCTTAAGTCAAATGTCATGGTCACTAACCAATAATAGCATCTCAAAGAATTCCAATTTACAGAAATTCTGATAATGTGGTTAGAACACCAGTCAGGACACTCACTTCATGGTTGATAATTCCGGACATGCACTGATTCAGACCCAGCTTATTGAATTCATTGAGTCCACAGGCCAGCACTTTTCCTGATTGGGTCAAAAGAAATGTCCCATCACAGCCACATTGAACTGCAACAATAACCAGGGCCTTGGGAACATCCACCTGCAAGAAAAAAATAAATCAGAAAAAGAAATCCCAAATATATAATTTGTATTAGAAAAAAAGCTGTCAAATTCTTTCAAAAGAGACATGCTGCATTTAGCAGTGACTACAGGAAAGCGAGGACCACTCTATTCTTTGCAGATTTGCCCAGTGTCTTAGAAACTATGAAGTATTTTCTTTTATTTTTCATGAAGAGTTGGGTTTATTTCAACAATAAATTTGAAACTCTTGCCTTAAGCAAGAGTACTGCAGTAATTGTATCAGGATTAGGCAACAGAAAATTTTCTACACTGTCAAATATATAAAAGTTCCTTTTGTACTTTCCTTTTCTCTTTGCAGATTCAGTCCATATTTGCTTTGATCTATCTACTGAGTTAACCCAAGCTGCTTCTTCAGGGACTCTGGCATTTCGGGTGGAGGAGGGCGAGGGAGCCTGAAGTAGACCTTCAGGGAGACAGATAAACCACTGTAGTGCGGCCAGGGTACCAATCATGATGATACAGGCAAACAGT